ATTTCTTTTCGGAGGCAACTTTAGCTGAAAAAGTGTCTTTGGGTGCAATGTGCCAAGCAAATCTTAATTTGAGGATGTTATCTGCCATATTTTTAATTTAAGGGTGCAAAGTGCTAAATGAGCATTATTAAAGGGTGCAAAATGCCAATTACCCTGAAATATGACTAATTTGTTAAAGGGTACGGTGAATCATCTTATACGTCATGCTCCATAGGTTTAGGAATCTGGGAATGGGCATTCTCAAATTTCCGTTGCGATGATTTCGATACTTGAAAACTTAATTCCTGGAAACAGTGTGGAACGCAAAGTGGACAGTAGGGTTCGCACTTATGTGAGAAGCGTGGTGATTGCGTACAGTGACGTAGCCAGCATAGTGCTAGGGGAGCTATACCTCAACATTTCTCAAATTTCTATAATTTTATATATAAATTTAAAAAAAGATCGAGCATAACAACATTATTTGCCCCCTTTTTGATAATTTTTTTGATGCATTCGCCCCATCAAAACTTAAAAATTCTGGCTCCGCTAATGATTGCATGAGTTTCATTTATATAAACAAAATTCAGAAAAAAATCGTGTATAAAAGCATTATTCGCCACCTTTCATAAATTTTTGATGCATTCAGCCCCTCTAGCAAACAAAATCCTGGTTCCGCTAATGATTGCCTGAGTTTCATTAAACACAATTACACTACACGTGAATGAAAGTTTGCAAGTCCCGAATTGAAAATAAAAAATATATGTGTCGAAAATGATTACAAAATGTAAAATGTTTCACGATGATGCTTGTTATACTTCTTATTGCTTAATTAATCTAAAAAAATAATTCAACAAATAAAACCAATAATGTTTGTAAGTAATGTGATGAAATCAAGTGGAAGATATTATTGGTTTGTCAACTTTGTTTTGTGGGCATGTTTTCTATCTTGCATGACACTTGAGAGCAGATATTTTTATAAAAAAAACTTTAAATTAGAATTTTAATTATATATATACTTTTTTTAAATTTATTTATATAAGGAGAAAAAGGAAGATAATAAGTTTTATATAAGGAAAGTATATCCTTTAGGAGGGATATAAATTGGAGTGGAATTTATAAATTCTGCCGATTTTGATTAAACATTCACGATGGTGAAATATAATTTTCATTACAAAAAAGAAAAAAAAAATATTGATTCTTTTTTTTTTTCGATTTTGTTTTGGACAAAAAATTCAATAGATATTAGACTCCAGTTTCAGATCCGATTTCAATTACGGAAAATACTTCCGAAAATTCCAATAATTTATTTCCTTAAAATTACACTTATAATATCAATATTATTATGTATTGTATATTATAGATTAATTAGAAATTCAGAAATTCCAAATTCCCCCTATATAAGATCCGGGTTTTTTTCGATTTTTGACAAACAAGTTTTACTGTTCGAATATCAAAATTTCAAAAAAACAAAAAAAAAAAAAAAAAAAAAAAAGGAACGAAATAGAAATTATTTTTTTCCATTTCCAAGAAAAAAATAGAATATTTACAGAAGTACTAATTCCAACAAGCAATGTGGTTTTGTAGAACCTGCATCTGGTGAAATACATCATATAATTTTACACCATTGATCTATACATAATAACACACATCGATATATATATGTGTGCTTAGTGGATACTTATTAACGTAAATTTACAGTTTAAAATCGCAAGTTGTATACACCAGGTATAGGATATCATAACTCGTGTGTGTACAAGATGACGAAGCAAATCACATGTAGTGCACAAAAGTGTAAGAACAAATAGAAGAAGCCTATGTTGTATAAAATGGTCGGCGGCCTCATGCGCACAACTTGTTAATTTGCTGTCCAATGAGTATGACTGGTGTGATAACCGTAGGCCATACTCAATTCAAACCGTCTAGAATATTTCTGACACTTTGTATTATTAAATTAGAATTGACTTCTACTCCTTCTATTTCATTTTATTTGTCCTCTTCGGGTGTTTTTTTAATTAAAAATAAATAATAAAAATGGTATTTTAGTATTCACTATGTGATTTTTTGTATAATCTGTATATATTCATTGAGTTTCTTAATATACGCGCAATCACTTAAAACTACATATAATACGGGACGGAGGGAGTATACTATTTGGGATATTAAAAATAGAAAAAAGAATAGTTAGTTGGTGTTCTAGAAACGGCTTATTTGAATGTTTTTGAGGTTTATAATTTCTTAATTTAATAAATAAACATAATTTAATTATAAGATATTAGTAATGCTTACATTATTAAAATAAGATAAAAATTATTGAAATGGAATTTTATTTTGAAATCTTAATATACTTCATTTGGAAATAAAGTACCCAACACTTTGAAAAAGTTTATAAGCTAGTTTGAAGAACCCGAACAAGTTCGAATCCCTCATATTCTCATTAAAGAAAATCGATTTTGGAAAAGTACTTTTTATTCCAGCTTTTTAAATTTTAATTTCAAATTTTTTTGAATAGATATTTAAATTATCTGCGAGATTTCAATTTGCGATATAATTTAAATTTCTCAAAATAATTCCTCAATTGTTTTTTTTTTCAAAATATTAAATATAAATTATCATTAATATTTTATACCATAGGGTTAATAAAGAAACCGCATTTCCGATCGAATTCATTCTTTACCGTCCAAAATTTTCACATTCTTGCATTTTTTTCTGATGTTTTCTTTAAAATGAATTAAAATTAGTTTTTCACTTTCGAAAACGATCGACGGACTCATATGCCTAAGGCGTTTGAGAATTAAAGAATGTGACTTATTCTTCATTGGTGGGTTAAAATTAATTTTGTTTTCTTGGAATTAATTAATGGACAACATAAACTCCCTACCAAAAGGGCAAAGATGGCTGCTTTGTTTTCATTTTCGCAACCCCACCAAATTAGTATTTTGCTTCTTCCCATAAATCATTTGCCAATTGAAATAAATTCCAAAAATGAAAGCAACTTCAATAGAGATTGCTATTCTTGTC